AATAATACTGAAATCTCCGAAAGAATAAATTAAGGGATGGTGGAGGGAAAAATGCCAAATTAGGTTTCTCCCTATTAATGCTTTGAAGTGTTAAGGTTAAATATTATCATAAACATTACCATCACAAATCCTCATTTACTAAGGTACATTTATCATAAATGGAGGGAAATTAAGTAAATTGTAAACATAGATAGTGGATACACAGAGTTGGGAACAAGAGCCACATAACCAACGAAACTATGAGTAAACCCATTACTCCATTTGTGCAACCTAAAAAGACAGATCCAACACTTACAAGACACTAAAGAGAGTGCTGGTGGCTAACCACAAAGCCAGCAGTTCAAACCCATCAGCCACTCTGCAAGAGAAAGATAAGGGTTTCTGCTCCTGTAAAGATTTACAGCCTCAGAAACCCTACAGAGTCACCAAGAGTCAGAACCAATTTGATGGCATACAACAACAACATCATCAAAAAATAATTAAACAAAATTCTCCTCTCAAGCGAAAAAATGTAAAAATACAATAAAATTACTGTTTTGAGATTGAAGATTATATCGTATCTATAAAATAAGAGCAGACGACTATGAACTAGAAAAAAAAAAAAAAAATGTCACTGAGTCTATTTCAACTTTTGGCAACCCAATGTGTATCAGGTCCCGCATTCTGCTTGTGCTCTTCTCCCTTGATGGTCCTAGGGTCCTCTGTTTCTGGACTGGATGATTAACAAAAACCCCTGTTTTTATTACAAAACTTCTACCTTTACAACTGTGACAGTCACAATTAGTCATGATAACAATTAACTCACTATTGAATCATAAGAATCTTATCCCCATCTCTTTTCACCAGACCCATCTAGACAAGATGAAAACTAATCAGTATGAACTCTTTCTTCCCCAACACATTCTTAAACTAAACTATATCATGAAACTTTGTAAGCCAATCACTTCTTGCCTTTATAGCCCTCCTCCCCGTCTTTTAGGTAGCCAATGTCTAAGTTGCCCGTCCCTATCTACCCTGTGTACAGAGGGGATAACACTGATACTTGATCTGAAGACTCCTTCCCTCGCTATTGGTATTAAGAGTATACACCTCCATGAGTATAGGTCAGGTTCATCATAGTGTAGCAATTTATCCTTGTTTCCTTTATCAAAAAAATGGGCTGAATTCAACCACAGTCCATTGACTCCTGTTGACCTGGAGATGAAAGAGAGAAGAGGAAAGACTGGTTGATCCAAAGTGTGGTGAGACCTGGGGACTCCTGAGCCCATGGACAAGGACATAGCCATAGAGGGCTAGAGCTGAGAGTGAAGCATCCAGCTGATATGAAGTGAGGGGAGATGCACAAGAACACCCAAACTTGCAGACAGTACCCATTTGACCTAGCCTCAATGGCTTAATAATCAGAACTCGACTAGTGGAAGATTTTTAAAAACTTTTTTTTTTTTTTTTTTTTTAAATAAAGGAAACAACACGATGTGTATCATAACAAAATTGTTCCACAGGGGTTTCACTGACTGGTTTTCAGAAAGAGAGTGACAGTCTTTTCTTTCAAGGCACCTCTGGTGGGTTTGAACCAGCAACCTTGGGATTAACACTAAAAAATAACTGTATGCACCACTCAAGGGCTCCATGAAATATAAAGACCTCCCTGAAATATAAAGTAATAGCTAAAGTAAAAAACTCAACAAAGGGCTAGAATATTACAAGTCAAGGAACTCTTCTAGAACCTAACCAAAAAAAATACAAATACAGGGAAAGTAAAAGAAAAATTAAGAAACGGGATTAATAAGTGATCTCCAAGAGTACAAAAAATGTACAAAAAGTGTCTTGTTGTTAAGCTGTCGGGTCGGTTCTGACTCACAGTGACCCCATATGAGTCTCTATGAGTTGGAACCTCCTCAATGGCACTTAGCAACAACATAAATACAACATTTTTTGTACTTTTTTTTACTGTTTACTGCTTTTCAGAATGAACAAGCGCAACTATGATAAACCTTGACAATATTAAATGAACGTTACAGCTGATACAAATCAGCAAGGAAATATGAGAAATTCAAGTGGGATATGATAACAGGGGCTGACTTCTTGAGTTTACAAAGTGGCATGTTCAGAGATGCTAGAGAAATACTTTCTAAAGTTAACTGTCCAAGAACTAGAATTGTAACTATAAACAAACAACAACCAAAAAAAAAAAAAAAAGCCAAAGGCCGCAACAACAACAAAAAAAACATACTTACCAAAAATTGTGAGAAAATAAATAGATTTAAGAGTCAAATTCTTCTATGTTCACAATGGGGAAAACATTACTTAAGACTAATTAGCCAAAACATCAAGTTTAGAACATTACATATAAATAGCATAAAATAATCAAAATTTAAAATAGAAAAGTTCTAATATGGTTAACTTTGAAGAGTGAAACTAATTTGAAAAGATAGAGAGTGAAAAGATTTTTTATGTCATTCAAGTATCTTTGAGTACTTTTCAAATTCTTATTTTTATACAATAGGCTATTAATTCTCTAAATAAACACCTCACACACACACAATCATTACACTCTCTCTCCCCTGGCCAGTGAAAGGACCACTAATAAATTTTTCTTCATTTATGCCTTTTCCTATGTTCCATGCATTATGTACCAACCTTCTGTCATGATATTTCAGTCCATATGTTGTTGTTGCTAAATGCCGTACAATGGGTTCCGACTCACAGCTACCCTGTAAAGGTTTCTGAGGAGTGGCTGGTGAGTTGGTACTGCCAACTTCATGGCTCAAACCAACCTTGTAGTCCAGTGAATTATCCTGCAGCGCCACACCAAGACTCTTTTCAGTCCATATACAATTAATTAAATAGACAGAAGAGCCACCCTAATTGCCTGATAAAATGTGGAGGGTATGAGAAGCTTACATTTGTGTCTGAATACACATTCACATCCATTATCTCATTTAATCCTAACAACAATCTTGTAAGATCAGATTTTAGATATTAACACACTTAAACTCCAAAAGTTTTAAATGATTTGTTACACACACACCCCTAAAAAAATAGGAAAACAATGTAGACAATCTAAAAAATAAACACTACCACAAAAAATTATACAGCACTAAAATCTGAAAATGTTGTCCAAATGTACAACAGTACATGGAAGAAATGAAGCAATAGAAATGGTCAGCACTTCAGTAAACAGTTTGGTAGTTCTCATACATTTAAACATAGATTTCTGGCAAAGTTACATACATACTTACCACACAACCCAGTAATCTTTTCCGCTGGTAATTACCCGAGGGGAGGGGCACATATAAGCACACAAAGATATGTAACTGAATGCTCATATCAGTTTTTGTTATAATAATGGACTTCTGGTATGGCACTGTAGGATCAGCACTGGACTGAAAGCCACAAGTTTCAAACCTTGGAAACCTTATACAGGGTCGCTATGAGTCAGCGTGTAACAACAACAAAATCTTTTCTTTTTTCATAATAGTCAAAAACTGGAAACAACCCAAAGTCTATCAATCTGTGAAGACAAAAACAAATAGTGGTAGATCCAGATAACGGAACACTTGTTGTTAAGCGCCATTGAGTTGGTTGCGACCCTGTATAAGGTTTCCAAGGAGCAGCTGGTAAGCTTGAACTGCAGTTCAGCACATTAACCCATAGAGCTATACCAAGACTCCAAATGGAACACTACTGAACAACAACAACAAAAAAAAAAACTACTGATATAAACAGCATAGATGAATTATGAAAGTATTATGCAAGGTGAAAGAAACCAGAAACAAAAATTATGAATGTCTGAATACATTTAAGGGAAATTCTAGGAAAATAAAATTGTAGTAACGAAAATCAGATTAGTGGCTACTAGGGCTGAGAAAAGAGAACTGACTGGAAGTAGAACCAAAGGAACTTTTGTAGGTGGTGACAATGTTCTATATAACTGTAAAACTGGCTACAGAACTGTTTCTACATTAGTCAAAATTCATCAAACTACACACTAAAAATTAGTCAATTTTATCATATATAAATTATACCTCTATGAAGAAGATTTTCAAAAACACATAATGCATGGAACTATTATCAACAACTTTTCAGCAGAGGTCTTAGCCACAGGCATTTAATAATATGAAAATAAATATAAACGAGGTAACTTTTAACCAGACAATATATCAGGAACCAAAAAATTCTGAAAATGGAACTGTTCTTATCCTACTCAATTTGACCATGTGGGTCATCAGTAGTCTAAACTAGTCTCAACTCCAGGTTTCTAATAAAACACATTGACCATATAAATAGGTGATCTCGCAAAGTATACATTAAGCTATATGATGTGTTCACCCGTTAATTAAAAAAAAAACAGATGCATCTGAATTATCCAAAGAGTGAATGAGAAATAAATACTAAAGTATATTAATAAACTTTGAAATTAAACAAATGTTATTATTTTAAAAAACAACTTTTTATCATCTAGCTTCCTAGTTTAGTACTTGACCTAATTTATGAGATAGCATAATCCACAAATTTGGGGGCAAACCTTCCCCCATTTACTACTTTAAGCCCATCCTGTGCCACCATCCAAATAAACTTCGTATAGCTGAATACTTTTATTTATACGCTTACATATTTTTAAATGCATTCAAGACACTTTTCTAGATAATAAATCATTTTAAGATATGTGAATACCCACTGAAACATTAACTCTGCAACATAAATATACACAAGTCACAAAGTCAAGCCTGACTTCACAACTATATTGTAAATTATTAAAATCAACAATTAAAAAGAAATTTCTAAATAATGTCAGAATCAGAATCCCAACACATATGTTAAATCTCATTTTGTCCTTATTGGACTTAGTATGTTACAATTTACTTTGCTAACAGAATCACACACACACACACACACACACACACACACAGACATCAATTTCCAGCACACCACCTTTTAGCACTCTTACAAACCATATAATTTGTGGGGGGGGGGGGGGGGGGTGGTTGAGCACTTACCCCTCTTCTGAACCCAACCTTCTTTCACAATGGTAACATCGCTCATGATGGCTCCCCTCTAAGCCCCAACTTAGAGAAATGGTACTTTGTGATTTCAGCTTTGGGTTTGGATTCTCTGCTTCTGCTGCTGCTGTTGCTCTTCCCACTCTCCACTCTCTAGTGATGACTCAGCCTGGAAGGAAGTATTGAAGAAAGAAATTCTTTTTTTTTTTCCATCCTTGCAACTCACATAGCAATAACAAACAACCAATTCTTTGTAAATGTCTTCAACTGGCTTGACCTCACATAAAAGTCTAGCACTTCAAACTGGGGAACTTATTTATTAAATAGTTGTACAACGAATGCAGTTCCCTGGTCTTGTGACAGATTTCAAATGATAGTGGAACTTTTACCGTAGGACGTTGCAACAAAAAATGTCTTAAGAAAATCACTCACACCCACACACTTAATATAGGAAATTTCTATAGTAATATATCTGAGATGAAAGTTAAGTGGCCAAAAAGTAAATCTTCATGTATGCCTATTTTCAAAATCCCTGTAACTTCAGAAGGAATTATGAATATTTTTAATTGCTGTCTTTTATGAAAAGTACAACATGCTGAAAAAACAACATTTATTTAGTCTTACTCTGCCTTGTTCCAAGAAACATTTTAGACAGATTATAATATATACATAAAACAAAATCAGTTATTTAAATAAACAAGTAAAACAAAGGGAATAATATCATAGAAAAAATATTGAGTATTCAAGATGTGTCAAAAATAGTATAAACCCAAACCCACTGTCGATGAGTTGATTCCAACTCGTTGTTGTTGTGAAGTGCCAACTCATTAGGGACTATAAAGGGTTTCAAAGATGGTAAATCTTTAAGTGAACAATTAGCTTCATCTCTCTCCCTTGGAGCGGCTAGTGGATTTGAACCACTGACCTTGCAGTTAGCAGCTCAATGCCTAACCCACAGTGCCACCAGGGCTCCTTAAAAACTGCAATAGCTAATTTCGTATTCTCAAGTAAACTATTCTAGGGGACTACTAAGAGCCCTGGTGGCACTGTGGGTTAGGCATTGGACTGCTAACCGCAAGGTCAGTAGTTCAAACCCACCAGCAGCTTTGCCAGAGGAAGGTGAGTCTGACTGCTCCTCTAAAAGATTTAGTCTCGAAAACCCTGTATAGGTATAGGGTCCCTGTGAGTAGGAACTGACTTGATGGAAAATGGTCAGTCAGTAGGGTCAAGCAATGGCCACAGCTGCTAATTAATGAAACAATTATGTTTTATATGTTGTTGTTGTTGTTAAGTGCCATCGAGTCGTTTCCGATCCATAGCGACCCTGTACAGGGTTTCCGAGGCCGTAAATCTTTACGGGAGCAGAATGCCTCATCTTTCTCCCGCGGAACAGCTGGTAGTTTCGAACTGCTGGTCTTAAGGTTCGCAGTCCGATTCGTAACCACTATGCTACCAGAGCTCCACTGCCTTTTGTTGAAATTTGGAGTCACAGAGACCCTATACCATTTCCGAGACATTAAATTTGTAACGTGAATAGACATCGTAATTTTCTACGGGGAGCGGTTGGTGGGTCTAAACCTTGAGGTTAGCAGCCCAATGCTTATTCCACAGCTCGACCAAAGGCTCCAGTTGTTATTGTCATCGAGTTGGTTCCGACTGATTGCGACCCTGTAGAGAGATATCTAGGAGTGGCTGGTGAGTTTGAAGCACCGACGCTGCGATGCAAAACCACCTTGCAGTCCAATGCTTATCCTACAGCGCCACACCAGGACACTAAGGGTTCCAGTTGTTGATTAATGCCGTTGAGGCAACTCTGACTCATAGTGACCCTGTCTAGAGTTTCAACGGAGTGGCTGGTGGATTTGAACGCCCACTGTGCTGTTCAAATCGAAAATTGCGGTCCAATGCTTATCCTACACTCCACACCAGGGCTCCAGGACTCCTGTTGTTGCTGTTGTTAAGTGCCATCGAGTCAGTTCCGACCCATAGCGACCCTATACAGGGTTTCCGAGAGTGTAAATCCTTACGGGAGTAGAAAGCCTCATCTTTCTCCCGCGGAGCGGCTGGTAGTTTCGAACCGCTGACCTTAAAGTTCGCAGCCCGATTCGTAACCACTACGCTACCAGGACGCCTAGTACCCTCTTTTTTGTTACGTGTGGTACAATCGGTTCCCACTCACAGTGACACCAATATAGGGTTTCCGTAGAGCAGCTGGTTTATTTGAACCACTGACCTCGCATTTAACAGTCCAGTGCTTATTCTACAGTGCCACACCCTATTGTTGCAATGTGAGGGCCAGTCAAATTCCAACACATACCAATCCCATTTTGGTTTGCAAGTCGTAAATCTTTGTGAGAACAGAAAGTCTTATTTTTTTTTCACCGGAAGCGGCTGGGGGTCTTGAACCGCCAACACTGTGATTCGCAGCCCAGTGCTTATCCTACAGAGCCACGATGCTCCCCCACCCCAGCCCAACTCACCCCTTAGAGTTGCTAAAATAACCTGAGAATACTAAATCTAAGTAGTATAGAAGATCTTAAGAAGCTCTGTTGGCACTGTGGGTAGGCACTTGACTGATAATCACAGTCCAGTGGTTCAAAACCACTAACTGTTCTGCCAGATAAAGATTAGGCAGAGTCTGTTCCACTAAATGATTTAGTCTCAGAAACCCTATATAGGATACCTATGAATCGGAACTGTCTCAAAAGCAGCGGGTTTACCATATGGACAACAGATTATGTTCTACATTGCTCAGTAGGGGAGAACAATGATCAAACTCACAACTGCTAATTAATGAAACAAGGATGCCTTACATATCCACTGCCATTGAGTTGATTCGGACTCAGCAATCCTATAATAGGATTTTCATGGCGCGGTGTTCCGGTTTGTACGGTCAACCTTGCGGTTAGCCGTCCAACGCTTATCCTACAGCGCCACACCCTCTCAGAGTTGTTAAAATAACCTGCTAAGTACGTATCAAAGTCTCTTAAGGAGCTCTGGTAGGCAGTCCAAACCCACCAGCTACTTTATAAGAGAATAGGAGGCTCTCTGCTCCCATAGATTTACAGCCTCAGAAACTGTATAAAAGGTTTTTAAAGGGTACTACTATAAGGTCCATTTTAAGGAGCTCTGGTAGCTTGGTTACGAGCTATACCAGCCGATATACGGGAGAAGGATGAGGTTTTCTGCTCTCGGAAATCCTATGTAGGAGCGACTCCACGGCACACCACCACCACCATTGGGTCTATTTTACAGATAGGGAAATTGAGGCTTACCGCAGCGTCTTCTGCAGATGGTGTCAACCAGCACAGTAACTCCAGTGTCACACCCCCATTGGTTTTACCTTCAGTGGGCGGGCTGACCAGAGAACCTCCCCTAGTAGGCGGAAACCACCCCAGCCAATCCACCTCAGGCAAGATCTAGTCCCGCTCCTCTCGGAAACGCCTCTCCTCTCACATTGGCTGTCCTCTCTGACCAATGGCGCAAGAGCAGCCCAGCCACCCGCATCCTGACTGGTGGGGTAGTCAAGAATTACCACATTTGGTGACTGCACTAGGTGACCCATCCCCCGTGGGGCCCCATCCCCTGTGGTGCCCCATCCCCCGTGGCGCCCCATCCCCCTGTGGCACCCGCCATTCCGGCACTACGGACCCTGCGGTCATTTTTATATTACCTCTTCTAAGTGAGAGGTACTTTACACATGTAACCACACCACAAGTGGCGCCACTGGTTTGCAGAAATTAAGCAGTTTGTCCAATTTGGACACAAAAAGATAGAGCCAAGATCTGAACCGGAGCTGCCAGACTCCAAGCCTGCATTGTTAACTGACTACAAAACAGGTAAAGATAAAATGCCAGAGTAAGCCAAGTCTACATATTTGTGAAAGAAGGACCATAAACTTTCAGAAAAGCATTGCAAGTAAGAAGACACAAGCAGCTTCCATTTTTACAGTATATATAAATACATACAAGGAGCTCTGGTAGCGTAGTGATTACGAATCGTGCTGCGAACCGAAAGGTCAGCAGTTCAAAACTACCAACTGTTCTGC